TGGTTCCATCAGGTTGCTCGTTTACATGCTACTGTCTGTCTCTCTCTCTCTCTCTCTCTCTCTCTCTCTCTCTCTCTCTCTCTCTCCTTAAACGTATGCAGTTGGTATAATAATACGGCAAGTACGGATCTCTCGGAATGTACGGGTTTCCGTAACAAAAGGGAAGATTGGAAACGCAGCTGAACGGACCCCAGCACAAATCCGGTAGTTATGACACCTTTATCGGTATGACGGTAGAACAGGTCCAAAATGGGTAACTACCAGAAAAATCGGTAGATTTAGACAGCCCTTCCTTAGCCCTAACAAACAGTGTAAATAGTAATCACAGACAAGACTTTTTGTACAGATAAGGTTCTGAATTATCGGGAAATTTTTTATTGTTTCATGAATAATTTGAATGACTATTTGTCTGGTTAATGATTTTATTTCACTATTTGTTTTTGTAAATTGGGTTTTTTTTTTGTCTCTGTGTTTTGTAACTGATTTTATTTGTCAGTTTTTGTTTTGTTTTTGACAGTATCTCCATGATCAGGGCATCACACACAGAGATTTGAAGGTAAGAAGCTTTTGATACACCAACCCCCTTTTGTCAGTTGGCTCAGCGTTTTGGGCAGGTGGTTGGAGTGTGTCTTTGGTAGGCTCTATATTCTTACTGATTCTGTCTATCTGTCTTGTTTGGGGGTTTTTTTTTCAATTCTAAATTATGGTGATTGTGTTCCTAACATTGTTACCCTAATGCTTAGTCAGTTAAATTGAGTACGTGAAGAGATACACCTTTGTGCCAGTTGTGGTGTAAACGAAATAAATGTGAGCCGTGCTGACAAAATGAGTTACTTCTTTAGGATTTTAGCTATATGGAAATTGATACATCAACTTTATAGGTGGAGTTAGTAAAATTTATTAGTATGAAATAATAAAGGACACTGTAGACTTGAACAAAATGGCATCTACTAAAAGTCTATAAATCTGACCCCAGTGTTGAATTTCGGCCGATATCTCCTTTCTTGGATCGCGAGAAGTAGCTCATTTTGTCAGCACGCCTGACAAATTATTTTACCAGGAGCATCTACAAATTGTGGAATGATTGTCAGAAGGTCTGTCCTAGAAGCTGCAATAAAGTCTTATTAGTTTGGTCACATTGAATGGGGAAAAAGAATTCTTATGCAATGACGAAATAATTTTTCTCCATCCGTGTTCTGTCCTGATGCACAGTTTTGCTTTTGGGTGGTTGGAGGGCATAGCAGGTTCCTCTTACTGATTCTTCCTTTCTTTCCCTCACTTTTTCTGTCTATCTTACTTTGAACTTGGCATTTAAACTTCTTTTCTTATCTCGAAATGAAACTTAAATATAAATTGTGTTCGGGGCAATTATTCAGTCTTTCCCTTCTGTGTCTGAGTGGTTGGTGGGTGTTGTGGTATGGTTTGCTTTTTTCCTATCAATCATTTTTATCATCCTCATCTGGCCTCTTTTTTTTTCTTTAAAGTTACTCTCTTGTAACACCTCTAATCTCTGACACTTTTATTATACCTATTTGTTTTGCAAATGCTGTAAGATTCATTCTGAAACTAAATAAAAAATGTTTTCCTTTTGTGTCTCCCCACAGCCTGAGAATATCCTGCTCAACTCTGATGAACTGGAGACTTTAATTAAGGTGAGGCAAGACAGAGAATGATTGAGAACAGTAATCTAGTGATTCACAGTATATAACTTTGGTGTTGTTCTCTTCGTAGTGTAAGTGTATGGGTTTAACACCCCTGTCAATGTTACTAGGTTACTTAATAGGTGGGACCTCCAAATTAAATGTCAATCTCTGATAGTGGGTGGTTGGCGCGTGCTCTGGTGTGGTTTGCACCTTCGTTCCTATTAAACATCTATCGCCCTGATCTCTCCTCCTTCTGTTTTGTGTTTGTTACTCTCTTGTAACACATCTAATCTTCAGCACTTATATGACCTTATTGTGTTGCAGGTGCTGTAAAACACTTAGTAAAACTAAGAAATCTCTGATAGGACGCAGCCAAATGGGTTGACAGTCTTGAAAACTCTAAATGAACGACCAAGTTCAAGACAGTCCAGTCTGGGATTCAGACCAGAGCCATTGGCTCCGCAGTCCAGCATGATACTAACTGGGCTAATAGATGACCCATTCTCAACTTCAAAACGTCCGCAGAGTGCTGGATAAATAAAATGAACTTTTGTAAAGGTTTTAATATGTTAGGGGCTTTGTCACGTAAATGTTTGGATACTTGCCTTCGGATCTAGAGGCTGTGGGTTCGACCATTGAGTTATTTTAGTAGCTATTTTTGTAGTACCAACATCTCCGGTGTCATGGTCAGGCTCTTCACCGCTGAGTTACTGAGTATCTGCGTCTACATACTAGGATGCCGTTTCTCACTCAGCCCAGTTGCCCTTGATAGGCACAGTGAAAGCTGCCTACCTCATAAATGATTTATATTGTGTCAGTGAGGATGTAATGGTTTTACAATCTTCCCATAGAACATTGAAAATGTGTTTGCTCCTTCTTTCTGAGATAAGATCTATTGCCCTTATCTCTCCTCCTTTTCTGTGTTTGGTACTCTCTTGTAACACCTTTAATCTTTGGCACTTATGTTGCCTAATTACTATACCAAATAATACGAACATTGGAATCACCCTTAGAATATTCTGTATGCCCCTAAAACTAGGAGACTAGAGACTTGACTGAAAACTTTAAAATAAAACCTTAAAATTTAGTCTCTTTTATTGTTTGTTACCTTCAGGTGACAGATTTCGGCTTGTCCAAGTTTATCGATGCTGGCTCCATCATGAAGACGTTTTGTGGCACACCGACCTACTTAGCACCAGAGATTCTGCTGACGGCCGGGAGTGGGGCGTACACCAAGGCCATAGACTGCTGGAGTCTCGGGGTCATTCTTTTCATCATGTGAGTGCTGGGGGCTATTTTCTTTTTTAATATCAATTATTTTCAGCTTGTGATACTGTAATATATGTAAAAGAACGCTCTACACAATATTTTGCGCAATTCTGATAGATAATAAGTAAAAAGTTACAATTTTTTAACCCACTTTTAATAAAAACCAATGTTGAGAAACTGACAAGGTGAATCGGTCTTCGATAATACACTTTTTTTATCCTTAATTGGCAGAAATTACGAATGACATCTGGTGTAGCTGTTAGGTGGTTCACTGTTGCACACGGGAGAGTTCAATTCCCAAGTGAAAAGAAATTTGTATCAAGTCCTGCTGAGATGGTGTATTTGTCTCTTCTCTGGTTGGCCCTGACAGGCAGGGTCAAAGTCCATCTCCTGAATGATTTAAATTGTGTTTGTGGGGGTGTTACAAACATGTACATAACAAATAAGAAAGGATGCATGCTGGAATCAAATTAAATGATGACGTGCTTCCTCTCAACATGTATTTTCCCCCTCAGGCTGTCCGGGTACCCGCCATTCTCGGACGAGCGTAAAGACATGGACCTGCCCAAACAGATCCTGGGAGGACATTATTCCTTCCCCAAGCAATATTGGAAGGATGTCTCTGAGACAGGTGAGCACTGTAACACACACACACACACACTCGCACACACACACACACACTTGCACATGCAGGCACACACACTCTCACACGCACACACACACTCACACACACACACTCGCACACACACACCTCTGTACTTTGACTTGCTGCGTATCACCTGCCAGCTGTTCAGATGTACTTAACCCAAAATTTTGATTTGAAAAAAAAAATAATTGCTGTATGTTAATCTAAAAAAATAATTGCTGTATGTTAATCTGTGTTATTGATTGCATGCAGTCGTGGTATATTAAGTTGAATTTCTTATGAGAAATATGGCTGTTTGATGAGTGAGTAAACAAAAAAAAGTGACTTTCGAGGAAAATATGTATCTTCTGGCAGGGCAACCCTTAAGACCAGAGACGAGAATACTCACTTTAGAGGAAGCCAGTGTGTCCGAATTTGTGTCCTCCAAAATTTAGGAAACAAAAGTTAACAATTCCTTTGTTCATTTGTTTAAGTACAAGTACAGTAGAACTGAAATTGATTTACATTACGAGTTAATATTGTTCCCAATGCTCTGTTGAAGGGACTTTATACTTTTTTGCGGACTAATTTTGCCATAGAGCCTGTCAAATTGTATTGTATGTCAAATTTTGATCTCTCGGGTCTCTGTACTGCTTTGAAGTCTGCCGTTAGGCATCCTGTGCTGAGATTGAGGAGATAATCAGTAGAACATCGTCCGACTTTATCTGTAGACCTCTGTTTTATGTTTTCCTTCATCACTAGATAGGCCAGACCTTGTCTTTTTCTTCTTTTCAGCAATTGATTTAATCAAAAAGATGATGGTGGTGGACCCAAAGAAGAGAATTGATTTTGCTGATGTTCTTAATCATCCATGGCTACAGGTACTGCTTGGTTGTTGTTGTTTTTTTAAGGGGGGGGGGTCTTCTTGTTTTTATTTTTTTACTTTCATTATTTCCCTCTCTTAATTTATTCAAAATTTTAGTTTGCTTTTTCTTTGACGTTCTTAATTGCAAACTGCCATTCGTACTCTTTTTTTTCTTTTTTTTCGTCTCTTTTTAGGTTAAGAAAATGTGAAGAAGGAGAAAAGAAGGAACAGGTTTTTTTGTGTTCTTTATTGCTGACTGCCATGCTTTCTCTTTTTAGTCTGTCTCTCTGTATGTTAATAAAGCGTTAAGAGAAAAGGAAAGAAAGTGGGGGGGAGCTACTAAGAAAGGGAAGTAAGCTTTGTAAATTGAGTGAATATCTGTTAAGTCAACACATCTTATGTGAGCTTACCGTGTCAATTTCTTTTCCTTCGCTTTAGAGCTTTATAGTTTTGCAGTCTGGAGGACAGGTGTAAAACCATGCAAGAAAGGTCTCAAGACATTTTATTTCAAAGCTATCCTCTACCTGCAGTTTTTGTGCTCGAGAATGTGTGTGGTTCTTGAAGTTGCACTTGTGTTAATTTGTTGTTCAAATTGTCTCACTATGTATTTTCAGTCTTTTGATTTATCAATTATATTGAATAATCATTTTTCATTGAAAAGCGCTTCGATTCATCTAGGGATCAAGACCTGTGTACTTTCACATTATTATTATTATTAATTATTATTATTGTCATTATCGTCATTATTATTATTAGCTACTGACTGAAGTGTCTTTAGGCCTTTCCCAAAGGGGGGACATTACATTAACCTGCAGGGTTCCCGCGGCCTCCTTGAATTCAAGGAGTCCTTGAAAACTGCTTGAATTTGCATTCAAGGAAAAATGTCCTTGAATACTCCTTGAATTTGCATTGAAGGAAAAATCTCCTTGAAAACTCCTTGAATTTTGCCAGATCGGACAGGAACACGTGTACGGGGTGACTGCCAGGCCCCAGGAATCACGGGGGCCCCTGGAATTACCCGGTCGTTTGAAAAAAAAAAAGGCGAGACCCGGAATGCAACGGAAATTTGAAGAAATCTGTAAATTGCCCCGTGAAAGACCCGGGAAAAAACGTAAACGTTCTCGAATATTTGAAAACCAAATCCGATAACGTCCTTGAGTTCATTTTTGCCGGTCGCGATTGTGATAATATTCATTCGGCCTTTCCCGGCCTGAGAGTACGTTACCCGCGCACAGGCGGTTATGGCGGCAACAACTGGAAGTGTATGTGCGGTACCGAAGCTCGATCGGGAAAAATGCTCGATCGGGAAAAATCAAGATCTACTTTTGCTTTCGTTACCACCTAGAAATTTGCCAGTAGGACCTATAGTAGTCTGATAGCGCCACATTTGTAACATGCGGGTTCTGCATTACAAACGCTGTGTCGCCATGAAAATAAATCGTTTGTCCTGTGCTGTCACTTGTGGGAAAAAAAAAGAAAGTTATACAAGCTTCTTGTCGGGGTAGCCATCGTGACCGGTCATTGAACCTGTGCATTTTCGTCGCATCGTGAGTATCGCGATGGTTGAGGTCACCAAAGTTCATGCAGTCTGAGCGCTGCGAAGTATAGGACTCGGGAATGGGGGGGTTATTGATTTTTTTTTATAAAGACGAACGCGGGGGAGGGGGGGGTGGTGTTGAAGGCAACACCGGATGACAAAAACTAAACTTGGAAGCAGATTTTACTTTTCAGAATTTTGATTACTACTATCTAGATCTAGAGCTCTCTGCAATGCGCGCGTTGGTGCAGGCCTTGTGTGGAATCGGGATCTGTCATACCCAAACCTTGTAAACCGTGTTTCATTGGGTAGGTGATAGTAAATTATATGTACAGTAGTCTCCGCCTAAGATCCCGCTGTTTTAAGAAAACAGAATTTTTACTATACAAAAGTCACCCCTAAGATCTAGCTCTGATTCACTCTGAAGGTCTACCAGGGTGTCCAGCAAAGTCGTAAAGTCGTAAAAAAGTCGTAAATTCGGCGCCCTAGTCGTAAAGGTCGTAAATGGTAGTAAATTTGCCTTGAAGGTAGTAAAAATTTGGTAAACGGTCGTAAATTAGCCTGCATACTGAATGATGAAGCCAGCAAAACTTTTCAGTGAGCCCTAGCCGCGGTACATGACACCGTTGTTGCCGTTCGCGATTGTGATATAATAGTCGTTCACCTTTTCCCCGTCCGAGAGTACGTTTCACGCGAAAAGCCGCTATGGCGGCAGGTTGAAGTGTATGTGACCAGAGAGTATTTAATTTTAGTGTCTCTGATGTGACACCGAGGCTCGATCGGGAAAATCAAGATCTACTTTCGCTTTCGTTACCACCCTGAAATTTGGCGAAGATAAACTGATAACGCAACATTTGTAATATGCAGGTTGAACAGTATAAATGCTGTGTCGCCGTGCAAATAGAATTTAATAATTAGGCTACTCAGACTCTTCACCGTGCTGTCACGTGTGTGTGTGGGGGGGGAGAAAATAAAGCTTCGTCCGAATTTCAGATTGTCGGGTTCGCCAACGTGACAGGTCAGTGAACCTTCGCACGAGGCACTATAAGGTACGGTATCGGTGAGCACCGGCGTTTGTTGGGGTCACCAAAGTTCATTAAAAAGTCTGAGCGTTGTAAAGTATAGGACTACGGAGTAGGGCAGGGATTATTGATTTTTTTTTTAGAGATACACTCGGGGGAGGGGGGCGGCGGCTGAAGGCAACACCAGAGGACAAAAACTGTAAGCAAATGTCAGAATTTTGATTAGATTTAGAGCCCTCTGCCAAGCGCACGTTGGTGCATGCCTTGTATGGAATCGGGATCCTTCATACCTTGTAAGCCGTGTTATTGAAATTAAGTGTTCGCGTTTCATTTGTTGGGTGATAGTAAATTGGAACAATATTTTAGCTTTCTGTTCAAAACTAGCAGGTTTTCAGTGTCACTGCCTCTTGCCCTCTCACAGTTCTTACACCTCTCACACTGAATAGGTTTACTCGAGTCATTTTACGTGTGTGTGTGTGTGTGTGTGCGCGCATTGTTGTTGTGTAACATGGCCTAGGAAAATGGAGAAACCGGTTTGGCAGTCACCTTGTGTGTACACATTAGGTATAAATCTACCCCCCCTCCCCCTCCCACCACCCCCAGTGCAGTGCTACTGACTGAAACGTCTTTAGGCCATTCCCAAAGGGAGGATATTGACATGTTCTTATGCACAGTAGAATTGTAAATATGGGCTGATTTATCAATGTCATGCTTATACTGTGCTGGACCAGCAGAGGGGGAACTGCTGCCTTTTCTGTCCTCTTCTTTACTATCGTCATTTTCCTCTGCTTCTTTTGTTTGTTTGTCACGCTTGTGAACTACTGTTTCTGGGGTGCCTTGATAGTCGAAGCTTGATTCCCCATTTGGACTTCTCTGTTGACATCCACCCCTTGTCGCTCATATCACCTATGCAGTTGTGAGCGCCGTAAAAACCTTACTAAAACTAAATCTAGCTGCGAGCAAGCTTGTGATCGTCTGTCAATCCTTTATTTTGTCGACTGGACTTTGTTGTGTGTTCTTTTCGTTCCATATGTTATGTAATAATAATATATATGTTATTGAATGTGCAAATTAACTCCCTTTTTCGAGCTGGTGTGGGGCTTGATTTGCTGGGTAGTAAATTTTTTTCCTGGTAGTAAATTTTTTCAGGAAATATTGCTGGACACCCTGGTCTACATTCGGCTAAGATCCCGCATTTCAGATTGTAATTTGCGGAACAAAAACTCGGGCGGGCACAGCCGATCAACTAAGGGGGGAAAGTTGAGATCAATAAACTGTCCGTCGCGTCAAAGATCAGCCACTATCGTGAATGTGATCACATACACTTTGTAAAACTCAATGAAGCGATGCAATGTTTGCCCCAGACGGGATCACACCGGGGTGTGAACTGACCGACACGTTTGTTTTCCCCACACATCGCACTCACACCTGAGCTCTCTCCCTAAACTTACATCACTCGCTGGGTGGGTAGGGCCTACACGTTCGCTCCAGGCGGGATCACATCGAATCGTGAACCTTGACCATTGCAGCAGTTGTCTCTACTCCCGAATTTGCGAGACAGACTGAATTTTATTTGGTGTGTTCACAACGTAATGGTGTGTAACGACAATGGCGGTTTGGGGGGGGGGGGGGGCTCGGTCAGAGATGGCAAGCTATAAATGTTCGACAGGTAAAGGGGAGGGGCAGCTGGATGAGCGTAGATCTTGAGACTCATAAAAGGATAATTCGTGAAAATGGCACACCTCTTGCCACTATGCACTGTGATGTGTCATTATCATCAAGGTTAACAACACTTTGCTCGCCATACGTCATAAACCCACCAAGCTGTCACGTCAGTTCATTTTAGAGTGGAGGGAGACCATTTTACCGATTGTGAGCCGTAGCATGGGTCACCATAGATTCTTCCCTGGGTTCGTCAGTTAAGATCCCGCATTTCTTGGCTCCCGAGCAGCGGGATCTTAGGCGGAGACTACTGTATTGTATTCTATATATGAGCTTTCTGTTCAAGATTTGCAGATTTTCAGTGTCTCTGCGTCTTGCCGTCCCACAGTTCTTACACCTCTCTCTCACTACATAGGTGTACTTGAGACATTCATGTTATTACTTTACTTTTAGTTACAGTAATAACTTTTATCTTTTACGTTTACTGTATAAACCTTGACACCCAAACTGGTTCTTGACAGTGGATATTCTGGTTCTAGGCCTTTTCTCAGGCTCAAAGCAAGATTCATTTTTATATAGTTTATACAGGGGAATATGATGAGGGGAAAATATAAATAAGTAAGAACTGACTGAAATACCTAAGTCACAGTATCCCAGTGCCACACTGACATGTTGCTGACTGGAATGTACCTACATGCGTGCGTGCGCACCATTCTGTGTATATATTAATAAATAATATATAAATGAAGCCTGCACTGTCATTGTTATGTAACATGCCCCTGGAGAATGGATGAGCCGCCCCCCCCCCCCCCCCCCCCCACCGGAAAATTGAGAGGCCGGGTTGGCAGTAACCCTACGAACAGTTTTTGTAGGGAAATCTAAAACTATTATATGATTCTTTTCGGACAATTGTAGACCTTCGAAAATAGGCTTTTGTCATGAATTTTTTGACCAGATCTCCTTGAATTTTAAAAATTTCTCCTTGAAACCTCCTTGAAATCTCCTTGAATTTGGTGGGAAGTTCATGGCAGGAACCCTGAACCTGTTCTTGTGCACAGTAGAATTATAATTGTAAATGGGGTGATTCATCAATATCCTGCTCATAACTGTGCCTGAACTGCGATAGGGAACTGCTGCTTTTTTCTTTTCTAATCCTTACTATCATTCTTTTTTTCTCTACTTCTTTTGTATGTTTGTCACACTCTTGTGATCCGCTATTTCCGGGGTGCCTTGATAGTCGAAGCAGACTTTGTGCTGTTGATGTTAGAGAGGTGAGCAGAGTAAGTCTGATTCCCTGTAAGGACTTCTCTGTTGACATCCACCCCTTTGCGCTCATATGATTTTATGCACTTGCGAGCTCCGTAAAACCTCTACGGAAAAAAACAATATTATTATTATGTCATTCTCTTTGGTGACAATAGTATTTTTGTTGTTTTTATTTTCAGGACGAAGAAATGAGGAGTAAGGCCAACAAACTCATGTATCCAAACTCTGGAAAAATGGCACCCCCAAACATGGTATGGTCACTTTAACATCCCTATGCAGTCCAGTGTTTAGTCCGCGTCTAATTGATCGTAAATGTTTTCACCCCTATTGACACAATTCAGATCTTTTGGGACACCGGCTACTTCAACCCTACCTGTCAGGGCCAATGAACGCTGAATGAGTTATACGCTATTGTACAGACCAATTCTCCTATTTTTCTAACAAGTATAGTCTAACCTGCTCTAAACGGCTGCCCGTGTAAGACTATCACCTGTACAAAATTACAAAATGTCACTCCCCCCCCTGCTTTATATTTTACTTTAAAATGACACTTTGTAAGACAACCACTATTCTCCTTAAAAACGGGTTCATTATGTTAGCCAATTTTGACTGTATTGCAATTATTCTGAAGTGCCCATATCTCATGCAGGTGTGACAGGGTTCCGCTGGTAGGTCCGTCCTGTTCCTTTCTGTCCCTCTGTTGTCTCTGTCTGTCTCTTTTGCTTTTTTTTTTCCAAATACTAGATGTCACTTAATGGGTGGTTGGAGGGCACCACTGGCCACTTGAAAGTCCAACTTCTCTACTTTCTCTCTGTTGTTTCTGTCTGTCTATCTGTCTGTCTTACTTTTCCGAGCAGTAAATGATCATTATTGTGTCCATGTACTTCTCTTTGCTCAAACAAATAAATAAAGATGACAGTTCGGTCATTGGGTCAATGTGTTTCTCTCCAAAGCAAACAATTAGATAAACAAACCATGTCTCATTTCTTTTAACCGGTAGTGGTGAACAATGATGTTCAGTGATGGCAAAAATGTTTTGTCTTCTTTCCTCAGTCGTCCGATGTGAGAAAAGTTGCCTGACAGAATAGTTCATATTTCTCCGTACATACGTGTGGCATCGTTGTGAAATCAGGCGCTCGTCAAAATAATGAAATTGAAGAAACATGAATTTCTGCCAGTTTGGCAATTTTTATTGCATTTTCGTTTTTTGACTCAACACCTTTTATTTCCATTTATAACCACATTTCTGTTTGGATTTTATTGAGAAACATTGATTAAAGGCGCAAAAAATTCAGGGACTTTCAAGCTTTAGACGTCAACAAACTATGGTGGCCATTTTCTTTCTAATTTTAGCTCTGCCAACAGGTGACCCCCAGGTCCTTCAGTCACAAGGAAAGGACATGGAACAAGCTTTAAGATGGTACCAATAACTCTCCACATGGCCAAAAATTGACGATCGCCTGATTCCACCATGTCATAGCACATTTTGTTGTCAGAAGTTTTGATGTTTAACTCTCTCACCTCCATGAACGCACTTGCGCAGTTTGCAAATTTCTCCACTTTATTTCTACTAACAGTCGACCCATGTGGCAACGACGAAGCACAATTACTAGTATAAATCCCTTGGATGATTCAGAGCAGTTTCACTTTATTAAAACCAAATTTCCCTTGAAATCCTGCCTATTTTTGGAGCTGGATTACTATTTGTAGTATTTCTAGATTTTGTTGTTTGAGTTTGAGGGTCCACTGATCCGACGGCATCAGTGGTTATTCACTAACTCTAACTCTATTACTAGCAAAAAGTTGGTGCAGTTGAAAAGCAAGTTAAACGATTTATTCTTCTACTTTTAGATGAGTTTTTGAAGGGTTTTTTTGCATGTTGTTGCATGTATGGTCTGATATAAGGCATTTATCATAGTTGCAGATTTTGCTGATAAATCCAGAAGTCCCGACTTCTGATGTTTAGTAGTTAATTTCATGCCTGTTGTAATATGCATATGTATTAATTTTTATTTTGATCCCTTTATGCAAGTCATATTCCACTTTGTATAAGAACAGGCTTACAGTCTTGGTATAAGATGCCCCAGACAATATATTCTGTACATTTTTATACCACCCCCCCACCCCCCATGCTCAGTTCCGCAGTATACGAAAAGTTCAGGATTTTTTTTTCAAAGCTAGCTGTTTAATTTAGCTTTAGTGGCAGTTTTACGGCACTGGCAACACAAATAGAATACGCCTAAGATTTGAGATAATATTATATGTTAGCACCTCTGATTTATAACTCCTACCCTGTGTACTAAAATGATTTCCCTCCTTCTCCCCCTCTCCCAACCCACAAAATCACACACGTGTTTTGTGTTTAGCATCGATGGCTTGGTGGTTAGGCTCTTTGACTCCCAACCTTTAGGTCGTGGGTTTGCATCTCATGGGGGACTCGACATATCCTTTGGAAAGGCTTATTACACGAATTTCCTTCTCTTGGTCCGGGTGGGAATGGATACCTGGCCTACACAGGAAAGGTCTTGTTAGTTTGATAGTGTTTAAACATGTGCAATCTGCAGCTTACACTGTATGTTTCCCACGAAGCTGTGAGGGGCTCTCGTGGCCTAGAGGTTAAGGTGTTGGCCTCTCATTCAAAAGGTCCCGGGTTCGAATCCGGGTAGCGACCGAAAAAATTTCTTCACTAAATTTGTCTCCTTTCACCTCATTTCCTGCTCTCTAGCAATGTTCTGTCGTCTGCTTTCGTTTCCTCTTTCTGTCCCACCCCCTCACCTCCTTTGCCCCTTCCTCTGGGCTCCTGATTCTTTCTGCAGCCTTTCTACTGCTACTCCTTGGCTTCTTCTTACTGCTGTCTTTCAGCCACCCCCGTGATCTTCTGGTAGGAAAGATCTACACCTAGCCTTCTCGGACAAGGGCGAAAAATCTCGGAGGGCCCGTGTGCAAGTTGCACATGTTAAAGATCCCTTGGTGGTCTAAAATCGATAAGAGTAGGCTTAGGCCGCCACCCGGGCAAAATTCAAAATTTCCTACCAACTGAAAATATGCTCATGCTCATATGACCTTATGCAGTTGCGAGCGCCGTAAAACACTTTACAAAAACAAAAACAAAACGAAGCTGAGAACGTTTCTTGGTTTTCTAGGGTCTACTGGGATAATAATGGTTGTATAATGCATAGAGCATGCTGTAGAGTGTGGATATGCGCTGTACAATGCCATTGTTATTTTTTTTTTTTTTTTAAACTTTCAGCCTGTACCAAAGCGGAAAGCGACTGAGAATGAGGATGAGCCCGCCCAGAAACGGAAAAGTTCGGCTGACATAAGCACCCCACCCGAGACTCCATGAAGAAGATGACCAAAGATTCCAGACTGTCAAGGTTGCAAGGAGAGACTGAATGTAGATACAGATGTTCATAGACATTTACATTGGCAGCTGACAGTTCTGATGAACACACCAACCCATGAAAATCAAACTGTCTTAAGTGCAGTAACCATCATTTTTAAGAAAATCGCCACGGAAAATGTGTTACTGCTTGTTTTTCTTATAATGTGATCGCCCTTTGGAATTCTTCTTGGTTTCCATTATTTTTTTTCTGATAAAAAGATTTATCCTTAAAATGGAATAAACTAGTGTAGTACCCAGTATGTAATTTAATAATGAAAATAATTCACCCCTAATGAACTCATGATGACCTTGATAGGAGGAAGGGAAGTTTTAGACTTTGCAAGGTACCACAGGAAATTCAATCATATTGTTTTATTCTCAAAATTTTGGCACTTTAAGCAGTTTTTCTTTCAAGGGTTGATATTAGATTTTCTTTATATTGCCAGGTCTGCATCGATCCTATTCTATTAGAATTTTAAAAATCTGAGATGGACTCTTTAGTTTATCTTGCCTGAACTCCATTTCCTTTTGTATTTGAAATAACAGCAGCGGCAGAACTTTTGGTCAGGAGAGAACTGAATGTGATCCGACAGATTCACAGTAGTTCCTGCTGACATGGATTGATTTTGTCAAGTTATATATGAGCATTTCTCCCAAAATGTTCAAAATATCAGATTTGTTTTTTTCAAAAGCATGCACAAATTTGGAAGTGCAAATGTTTAATATTTGGGAGAATGAAATTATTCTTTTCCGTGCATTCTCCAGCCCCTTGGGGTAACATTGTGCACAAAAATTAATTTCAATGTTTGCCTTCTCAAAATCACCATTCCGCATTTAGATGACGGGATCACAATTTGATTGGCTCTATAAATTATATGAATCTCTGAGTGATTGTGTTCAGGAAAGTGTTGATTTTTCAAAAAGATATTGTCATAGTGAGGAGGAATATGAAGCATTTGATTTAATGTGCTTTTGATAATGACCTGATTGCTGATCTGGTCTCTAATGGCTTGGGTGTCTTTGCCCAGGCTCCAGTTATTTCAGTTCGAAAGAAATCTTGATTAAAGGCCTCTACAGAATTTGTTGAAAATGCATCAACTTGATCAACATACTGGTGTGAATTGTGAATGAGAGCACAAAGTCTCAATAACTTAATAGTAATAGTATGATGGTTTCTCTGTTTCTAAGGCAATACTTTTACTAGGTCATTAAATGGAAAGATATTCTTCTCTTTGAAAATATTGCCAAAAATGACATGCTGGTGTATGTACGAGAAAGGCAGCTATCTGGTTTAGCTTTGTATCATGTCAAGACTGATATATATGTCTGTAATGTCCTAAAGATTTGATGATTCTTGTTTTGAGGAAAGAATTTTCCTTCTTCATATGCTCATCAAGTTTTGATTTTCACTTTGGAACAAAAAAAAGACTGATGGGAGCGGAAAAGCAGCTATCACACTTTTTGCTATTTTGAGAAATTTTTTCCAACTTGGAAACACAAATCTTTCCAGAAATGTGGGATTTTCTCTGTTCTTTTTTTTTTTTTTTTTACATGAACCTTGCTTTTATTTTTTTATTTTAAAAAAATTGAATGCTATGTTAAATTGTTGTGACATAAGTTCCCATGGGGTATAACATCTCAAAATGATAATGCCATTTTTTTCTCTGTAGTCCTGTTTCTTTATGTACGTTTGCACTACAGATAGTGGCAGTGAACTTTCCAGCCGTCCGCGTGTGGTGAATATTTCTGTAAGTGTGTGTGTCACATCGGAGTTGACATCACCCACATATGACTATGAGGTGTAACGGTTAAGCCATTTGCACTTGTTTGCAGAAGACTGAATTTGATTCCTGAGTTTGGGGGGGGGGGTAATTATTTTTGGAGTATTTCCGTCTATCTGCTGAGGTATTGTATCTCACTGGGCCTTGGCTGGCCCTGACCGCCAGGGTCAAAGAAGCTTCGTGTCGTAAATGATGTAAATTGTGTGGAATAGGGTGTAAAACATCTCTACATTGAGGGTTGGCCTCTTACGGTGAACTTTTCTATCGCAGCACCATGTTCAAACTCGTCAAGTTTAGTTTAGTTAGAGTTTTACGGCGCTCACACTGTATAAGGTCATATGGGTGCGCCAAACTCTTCTTAGTTGAACATTTGTTCCTTTTGTGTTGGATGGGTGGATGTTTTTGCAGATTTTTCTCAGAATTTCTTTGTGGTGTAAGATGAAACAGTTATGAAAGAACGTGATTGTTTGATATGGTTTTCGTGGTGAAGAGTAACGTTGATAGTTAAAAAGCAGAGGGTAAAAGAGTATCACTTGGTATGTCCTATTTCTTTTCTTTCTTTCTGTTGAATCTGTGTCTGTCTGTCTATCTTACTCTTTCTGTGCACTAAATTATTGTCATAGTGTCGGTGTGCTTCTCTTTACTCAAAAACCCTAAAAAGAAACTGTTGAATTCGTAATTTTGGGGTCGTAAGTGATGAATTTTTTTCTAAATTGTGCAGCTGTCTCAAGAGAAGTGAGTGTAACCTTTTTTTCATTTACCTGGCCCTGGAAATATGGGTCAAACAAGAGTTGTTCATTTTTCGTGCAACAGCAACAAGGGCGCTTTTGCTTGTTTTAGCCATCTGCAGGGTTCTTTCTCTAGCAAAGGGAACAAAAATGTTTATGATTTCAATCTAATTCTTGTTTAATGTTGCATTCATTCCACCATAGAAATGTTGTTTTTGAAGGGGTTTTTTTATTAAACGATGTGATGTTTGTTGAAGTGATAATGTATTTCATTGTTTTAGTGACAGTATTAATTACATTTGTCTCTCATCCAACAAAGATGTCGTTTATTTGTCCATTTTTTGTTGACGAAATATGCATATAGATGATTGTTGGTTATGATGAGTGTAGTCTGCGCTCAAATCACATGTGCGAGTGCCAGAGTGTCCTCAGTTTTGTTCTGTGAGTATTTTTTAAAATCTTGTTTTGGTTGTTCCTTGTGTATGTGTGTTTGACATGTCATGTTGTATGTAATTGTACTTTGTTTGGTGTCAGTTGAGTATACTGTACACATCTGCTGTCCCATTTGTGTGTGTGGTATTTAACCTACCTTTTTCATCGGCCAAGTTATGCATGTATAGTTGGGTTTGTTTTTTTATTTTGGGTGTGTGTTTTTTTTGTGTTTTTTTTTTTTGGTGTGTTTTTTTTTTTATGTATATGGACACATGCTGAGATTTGTATGTGCACTTTAGTGTGTGTGTGTGTGTTAGTGAGCAACATTATGTTTGTGGATGCCTTTGTGTGTAGCTTTCATATGGTTATATCTGTCTTTGTATGTGTATGCTTGTTTTGCCGTATGTTTATATTCAAAAGCGTGCAACTTTGATGTAAATAATGCAAGAATAGTCATGATCAACCACTCTTATGTCATTGATTTCCACACGTTTTTCTTTTGTCAGCTTTGTGAAGGGCCATTATTTCTTGTCAAAGCCATCAGGTGTAAAGCTTGGTCTGCCAGTACCATATCTTTCTATTCCTTCTGTTTCTCCAGTCTGTCTGTCACGCTTTTTCCTTGTCCCTGTCTTCATGTCTGTGTGGATGGTTGGTGGGTGCCCTAGTGTGGTTTGTTCCTTCTTTCCCATTAACCTTCTATATCCGTATATGTATCTCTTCTCCTCCTTTTCTTTTTATGTTACCATCTAGTAATACCTCTAATCTTCATCATTTATATGACCTAATCGTGCTGTAAAACTAACTAAAACTTTAAAACAAATACATTTTTCTTTGCACTAACTGACCTTTTGTGTGTCAATGTGCTTCTCGAACAAAGAAACAGACAACAAATACATTTGTTGCGCAAAATGTCCAAAGATTTCTATTCCCTCCCTTCTGTCTGGTCTCCCCCAACTGATTCATGATGTATTGATGAATGCTAATGTCAGTGGGTGATTAACTGGTGCTCTCTTGTGGTTTTCTCCTTCTTTCCTATCATCTATCATCTTTATCTCTCTTCCTTCTTTTATTTGTATATTACTATCTAGTAACACCTCTAATCTTCGGAACTTATATGACCTAATTGTGTTGAAAGTGGTGTATAACTTTTACTGAAGCTAAAGCTAATGTCTAGTTCAATGACCAAGACAGCCTTGAGTGGCTGTTTAGTATTGTGTATAGATGATCTTTTATATCGCCATCTACTTTCATATTCATCTTTTCATATATGCGATTGACAATTGGTAGATCATGTAACTCACCCAGCCCTAACGCAGACACTATCGGTATGGAAAATTTTGCTCTCGTAACTGAAAACACTACTTTTGTGTGAACCAGATCATACCCTAATTGGAAGAGTAACCATTTTTTGTTTGAAACAGACTATGATGAATGACCAGATGTGCAAGTCCAAATTTAGAACAAAGAAAGCTATACATTCATGAATCGTCTGAGGGGGTGCAAAATTTGAACGCACTTCCTTGTCTTGCTTTTTGTTTTCTTTTTGACTCTGTGTATATATATAGACCTTTTTCCACGGAGTATTGCATAAAATCTGTGACATGTTTTGCCCTAAAATTTTCAATACACACAAATAAAGGTTTGAATAAAAATGTGTATCAAATTTGGGTAGGATATGTTAAAATTTAGTGGGTTTTATTTTCCAATTTTTCAAAAAGTGGTAAAAAAATCTCAAGGGAGAGCTGACAGTCCGGAAGTGTAGGCCTACGGTTGAGTGAGATAGTCATCCTGTCGCGCCTCTATCATTTTGAGAGTTTTCAGTCATGCTCCATGTCACTGTATTTTTCATAACTAGATCTGTCTGGTTAGAGACTAGAAAATTTGTGTGTGTGTGTGCGTGTGGCTCCTTGAATCACTCATGTAGTATGGTGTTGTTTTTGGTTTGTTTGTTTGTTGTTGTTTTTTTGGGGTTTTTTGTAATTTAGACTGGCCTGTGGTGCATCTTTCAATTTTCTGACGGTGGAGGAGTTTGCTAGACTCCTGACTAGAAATGAAAAAAGCCAGTCAGATTGATCAGTCAACAATTGACAGTCAGGATTCAGGGTTGATTATTTCCACGTCGGTAAGTGTGTGTGTGTGTGGGG